ATGCCTTTTAAAAAACAAGTTTACATCATATTCTTCTGCATGCCAGTGCTGTGCGTGAGGTAATTTAAGGTGGTTCTGACAAGCGTCATCGGCATCTTCAGATCCGGTGACATGGGCTGCAAAGCCACTCCCATCCAGTCACATGGGTGGCAAGCCACTCCCACAAAGGAGGCCACACCCACAGAGTAGGTTCGAACAATTTTTGAAACCCACCACTGCATCCATTCCACCTAAACTATATTCCTTACTCATTTCTGTGGCCCCCGAAAGAATTTCTGCAATCTTCTCTGCTAAGAGGGAGGAGCCAAATGCCAAGAAGCTAAGGGGAAAGATAAAGGGAAAATGGAGAAAGAACAGGAAGAGAAATCGTCATGGGACCTCAGGAGGTTGCAACTGCTATAAGTGTGTGACAGTTGCCAAGCACCTGAGTCGCAATGATGTAACAGCGGGGACATTGTGATGGTTATAAGTGCGAGGATCACTCATGTTTTCATAATCTGAAAGAGTTTGCAAACCAGTGGTGTTAAATTGAGCACTTCTTGGACTGCCCTCCCTCTAGAAAGTGTGCAGAGAAGAACAACAGAGATGATAAAGAGCCTGGAGGCTAAACCATAGGATGAACCTAGCAGAAAACTCTTCAAGGGACCAGAAGTGTGGAACGTCTTTGCGAGAGCATAAAAGTACAATTGCTGCCTTATTTTCAACCTATTGGTCTCTTTGAATTTTTGTTCTTGTGTTTTCTTTTCCAGTTCTGCATTATAGTGTATAAAACAGTGTTTCTCAACCTTGGCAACTTGAAGATGTCCGGACTTCAACTCCCAGAATTCCCCAGCCAGCAAATGCGAATTATAGCGAATTATAGTTGAGAAACTATAAAATATCCTCCAGGGCAGGAGATCAGGCTGTTTGCAGTATCGTCTCTCCCTGAGGGTATCTGCCATTACACTGGATAGGGTGGACCCCCCCCTCCCCTCCTTGGAATAAGCCCATCTCTTGCGGCCTCAGAGGTCTCCCTTTCCCATGCTGGGCAGCATTGAATGAAGAGGAATTGTCTTGGGTGCCTTACAAAATATATAATACGATATTTAATATAGTTAATGTATATAAATAAAAAACTTCCATATATATGTGTGTGTGTGTTTGTATAATTATATATGTAATTATATAATTTTATCAAAAATTTTGCAGGGCCACACTAATAGCTGTCCAGGGCTGAATGTGGTCTATGAGCTCTGAATTGGGCACACCTGAAGTCCACTTTCTAGGCTCTCAAAGATGGCCACCTCTTGAAGGCATCTGGGAAGCCAAAAAGGAATTGGGGGGAAAGTCCCAACACTTTTCACTCGCCCAGAAAGAACCGCTGTAAGAATGGGGACTTCTTTCCCATCAATCAAGGGTCTCCCCACTCTTATTGGGCACCTGAAGATCCCAGAGAGGATCTCTCAGAAGCAGAAGAAACTGCCCTTTTGCCAGGGGACCAGGACGGTTCTGGTAAACATCTCTAACTTCTTCATCACATTTTACTGTTAGATGCTCTAGATTTTCCAACTTCTTCTCCGTCCTCTCAAATGTGTTTGATAATTTCTGAATTTCTAACAATATCTTTTGCAAACTTAAAGTTTCTTTCTGCTGTTGTAATTGTGCTATTATCTCCAGCTGACAAACACTACTGCTCTGGCTTGGAAGATTTTTACAAGATTAAGCATAAATTCACAATAAGATCTTATTTTCACTTTTCTCTGGTTATACTTCAAAGGAACATCTTTATGCTTAATTTTATAAAAACCTTCCAAGCCAGCGCAGCAGTGTTTGTCAGCTGGAGATAATGGCACAATCTCAACAGCAGAAAGAAACTTTAAGTTTGCAAAAGATATTGTTAGAAATTCAGAAATTATCAAACACATTTGAGAGGACAGAGAAGAAGTTGGAAAATCTAGAGCATCTAACAGTAAAATATGATGAAGAAGCTGGAAATGTTTATCAAGTGGAAAAA